GAGTGTGAGGGAGTGAGTTCTCACGAATGGCGCCATGAAGCGGCCCTTCCTGCTCACTAGTCACTGTAATGACTGATGTGCAGGTTGTGCAGCAGATATTTCACTGCAGAAGGTTTCCAACGGGATCTGCGTGCAGGGTTAACAAGTAAGTTCCACGTATCTGGCAAAGTTGCGAGTGATATTTCTTTTGGATGAAAAGCGCCATTTACAATGTCACAGGGCCGCTTCACCTCACCAGACGTTGTGTATCATCTATTTTTGTGGTGCGAATTGGAGGCTTCACAAGTTGCCGGAAACGTTTGATTTGTATTGTGGTTTGAAATGCACTCGTCAATGTTGATTCTAACCCCGAAATATGAAAATACCACTGAAGTTCCCCTGCAAGGAGGTCATTCTTTTAGCCAATTTGCAGATCATTTGGAATGAAAAGCTGCAGCTTGCAATAACCAGGATCTCCTCCCCTGCTTAAACGACTTTGTCATTGGGGGAAACTAAAAACAAGTGCTTGGGCAAGATCTACAGTACGTAGCTGGACTGGGGCTTTCCAGTAACCAGAGATGGTGATCCTGCTGTCCATTAATGCGCTCGGACCACTGTGGAATCTGGGCGTCTTTCTTCAGCTGAAATTTGTGTGGTCCTCTGCGTATCGCATGGTCTGTTCTACCCTGCGCACTTTCCTACTGGAAACGGTTTTGTGGGTTTCGAAGCCGCCCTGCCTGTATCTGAGAGACCTCTGTCTGTCTTGCCAGTTCCACAGCCTTCACTGTTGGTGCTCCTGACATCTCGGAGATGACCAGTCTTTTCCCATCTGCGTCATCCAGTTCTACTTCCGTTCTCCCTGTTCCTGCTGCTGATCCTTGCCTGAGGTCACCTGATACAGGCATGTGACTCAAATGAGGCTGGGAGAAGCGCCTCTATTCGAAGTTCGGAGGGGGTTGAGGCAGAGGGGGTCCTAATATTGTGGCCAGCCAGCGCATAACATTCCACTCTATACATACTGTAGGGGAGAATTTCGTAAAGCCTGATTACTCCGAGTCATGGCTGCTTTCTTCTAAGGATAACGAATTACTGAAGTCCCCAGAAGGCAAGACAAGAGAATTTTTAAGTGACAAGTAAAGGTTTTTACCGTGCTGAGAAGAAACGCAACATTTCACCTGTGGAGCCTTTTCCTCCAGTGTGAGAAAGAGAGAGAGGAAAGTCAGCAGCTGACGACTTTCCTCTCTTTCTCGCACTCGAAGAAGGCTCCACAGCCAAAACGTTGCGTTTCTTCTCAGTGTTCGGGGATGTCGCACGCAGGGGACCGTACCTGTGAGCAGCAGTGGATTGTGGTAGTGAACCTCCAGCCGGAGAAACCGTGAGGATCCTGTCCCGCCCAGAGCCAGGCCGGCGTCGTCAGGGTAGTAAAACGCCTGAAAGCACAGGTGTCGTTTTCCACAAGGACAATAACAGCAAGGCCGGTTCTGAGGGCGTTGCCTATTAGCGATATTAATCATCCTCTCTTTTCAGTTAAAGAAAAATACTTAGGTAGTGTGGCGGTATTATACAGTATGCATGGGTACCAGAATGAGTTCTTGTTAGAGGTCCTGTACTGTACTTGAAAGGTAGCTGATCTACTCGAAGGCGTTCCTTTAGATGAAAAGCGAGAGTCTTAAACACGTACTGTACACGAGGCTATGGTTTCCTGCGGGCTGTATAATATGGATACTGTATAAAACCCACCAAGTCTCTTTTCTCTGGCTTGTTAACAGTACTCAGCTTTATTATCGACAAACGGGAGCAGAATGAATCGATGGAGAAAACGGGCAGGCTTACAGCTTTGTTAACAAATTGAATTGACAATCACGTTGCTGCGCAGACTTGAGATCCAGCAGGGGAGACAAAGGTGACTGTTGAAATAATAGAATCGTTACTTTTAGTTACAGTCGCAAGATGTGTGAAAGTCGCTACCCTGTAATTTGTTTTTCAAAGGCTGAAAGGTAGAAACTAGACATATGCGAGGACAGTGTGTGCTTTTGTGCAAATCGCTGTATGATTATTTTTTTTTTCGAATTTCAACATTGTCGGCCTGATGCGTAAAGTACTGGATGCTGTTTATCAGGAAATCTGCTGCGAATTACTGCATCTCACTCGAGAATCGGAGCTCTATATTAGTGTTTTTAGCTATTTTATTACGACAATGAGTTATTTTTATACATTTTATTTCAGTGTCACTGTACGACCCTTGCAAAGCTGTTAAAGCGAAAGATGGAAACTCTCATTTCTAGTATGCAGGATTTCCGTAGCAAATGAAACTTTTCAACCCTTCACCGAGAATAAAGGGATTCCAAATTATACATCTGTATTCCCAAACTCACACCTATAGGTCATCACACCTATTTACAACGGTTTTTAGTTAAAATGTTTTTTGTAATGATTATGCCTAATACAGTATTTGTAGTATATTGTTATCCAATCTGTGCACACTCGCGTTTTTCTGTAATGGAGCGTCTTGGAGAGCTACAGTATAACCGTGCCTTCTCTTCCTCAAAATATCTACACATACAGTACTCTCTGCTTATTCTTTAGGAGGAAAAGCAAGGTTTTCGGCATTTGGGGCATTGCAACGAGAGATAAACGAGTTCGTGAGATTTTGTTCCATCCTCATACGTCTCTAAATTCCCAGTGCCAACGTTTTTAATCGTAAACGACAAAGCAGTGACACAAAAGTCGAAAAGGAACGATTGTGCACGACTCCTTGGTTGCTGTCTGATCAAGCAGTAATATACTCAAGTATCTATCTGAATTGAGAAATCACATTTCCTCACCTCTGGTGGGTTTATACAGTAGGGATTATTTATGTAACCGTTCTAGTGGGCCTTCTCCGCTGGTAAATGTTTTGCTAAGATTCAAATGTACATTTTGTTTTATCTCTCCCCCCTTTTTAAAAAGCTAACAATTCTACACATTTCAATCTTTTAATCTCATCGTTTCAGCCTGGGTTGGCCAACCAGCGGAAA